AAAAAAAAAAAAAAAAAAAAAAAAAAAAAAAAAAAAAAAAAAAAAAAAAAAAAAAAACAGTATATATAATTGGAAGTAGATTTTTTTCAAACGATCAACCAACCGTCGGGCCGTTTCGATTAAACGATCGTCAATCGCGCCTTTTACACTATGTATCGACGGACCAAAGGGAGGGAAAAAAAAAAAAAAATACTTGTTTAACCAGGACTCTTGTCCGTGAAAACACCCACCCAACGACGGATCCGTACCCCAAGCGGGCGTCCTTCGGCGGATGGAGCAGCGCTCCCTCGGCAAACTGGGACCTCTGGACCGTTATGAACTTGGCCCTCTCCCCCTCGAGTTCCTTGCAAAACGCGTCGAACTTGGCCTGGCTCGTGACCTGGTCTAGCCTCATCATCAGACCGGCGTAGTAGCTCTGCCGTTGCTCGCAATCATTCATAGCCTCCACGAGTTCCGCCCGCTCCGGGCAATCCTTGGACAATCCCTGCAACGAGGTGAACACCCGAATCCGGGCGTCGCTCGCCATGCTGTGCATCTTGCGGAACCTCTCGCGCATACTCTGCCGCGTACCCAACCACTCGCGCTTCCTCTCGACCGATCTGACCGCGTTCACGCCCTCGCACTTGGCTGCCACCGCGGCACTCGGCGTCGTCTCCAGGATCTGCACCTCGTCCACGTCCTCGTTGCTCGGGTCGCTCGCAGGGGGGTCGGGCTGCTGCTTCGCCTCCTCCAAGAACACGGGTATCCCCACATTGTTCCCCGGATGCTTGCCACTGTACACGCAAATAAAGTTATGAGCCACAACAACAACAACAACAACAACAACAACAAAGCACATATTTATATGTACGTGTATATGCGTAACGACGAACCTGTCGAGGAAGTAATTGATGAAGTAGGGCTTGGAGGTGGTGAGCTCGGGCGGCAGGTCGATGCGATCGGTCCTGGTCTCCTTGATGCCGAGCTCCGGCACCGAGGGTATCGTGATCTCGATGCTCTTGGTCTGGCCCGTGGCGTTGGTGGTCGGCGGGGGCATGCAAGCGACGACGGACATCATCGGCGAGACGGGGTTGCTCGGGTCTGCTTTGGCGAGCTCGTCTCCGGGCTTGCCGATCACGCAGTAGCCGTGCAGCTGGCGGCACTCCTCGGGCTCGGGGTGACTCGGGCGTTCACCTTGGCTGTCCTTGCCGGGTGACACGGTCGAGGAGGCTACCGTGGCTATCTGCTGGAGGGCTTCCAGAGCCGACGTGGGGGAGGAGAAGGACGGCTCGTTGTCGTCGATTTTCTTCAGCAAGATCGGGGGCATCATGTTCGGGGACAGGCCGTTTGCCGGACTCGGGCTGATTGTACCATTGGCAGTGGACCCGGCGATTGGCGGGAGGGAATCTTCCTTGCTGCCTGACGCCTCGACGATGACGCCATTCCGGCTCTCCGGTCCCCTATGCTGTTCGTCCCGGTGGTGGCTCTCTTCTCGATCGCTGCAACTATTGTCTGGAACTAAAAGAGATCGTTTGACGTCAACGCGAGCCAAAGTGCATTATACGTACGTATATATTTCTAGAAAGTACCCAGTGATTCGCGCGAGGGGCGAATAAGTATTATTATTATTTTTTGCAAGCATGAAACAACGATCAACGAGTCGAGCACTTATAACTATGTCGCGTGCATGGGGGAACAAGAGGCGCCTACTCGTTCTCGCCTGGGCCGATAGCGATCGGGCGTAAAAATTAATAATGAAAAGTCAGCGAGGCAGCGGTAAAAAAAAAAAATAATAATAATAAAATAAAATAAACGTCCTCGTTATCATCACTCGTATATTGTGATAATAATAATAATATGATGGTGATGGAATAATGTGAATTATCCAAGAGGGCGGTGGGGCCGAGGAAAAAGAAAGAAATTAAAAGACGGCAGGTGTCGCGTTAAACCGCCCCTACCCCTCGCGGCGCCCCCGATTCCTCGAGCTTGTGCACGCGCGTAGCACGTACTTACTTATTGAAGAAATGACAAAGAAGGGACTGGCTCGTGTGTACACGCGTAATAACTCTATATTGGAATATTAATGATCTTTGCACGGGGGTAGGGGGGGGGGGCAAATTACCATAATTAGAGCGTCTGGATTGCGGTTGGCGTATACGTGTACATTTTTCGAGTGTAATATTGATTGCCGATGCCCGTTGTATACATACGTGTATTTGCATTTCGAGAAAAAGGGGGGAGGAAAAACGAGAGGGAAAATGATAAGCACATAATGATACCCACACTTGAATATTAATCGTTACCAACAACCATCGGCAATCAATCATGATCATCATCATCATCACCATGTTCTTACATATTTACAAGTCTCTCTGCGCTCTCATTTAAATGTTTCCAAGTAGGCATACATATAACATATGTACACGCGGCTTTCTCTTCTTTCCTCTTACTCTCTTATCTCCCGTTTTCTTTAAGGCTATATATATGTATATATTGAGCAAACAAATCGGGCAAACGGTATACAATGTGTACTTTCAACAAGTGTTCCGTAGAACAATCATTACTAATTGCGCACACGATGTTTGTACCTAAAATATACCTTATAGTATTATATCGTCGCATTTTATCATGTTGTACGCATATCTACACATTCCTATATATATTATGCGTCTGTGGTACAAGGTCTGACCACACGTTGTTTTCTACTACTTGAATCGCTGCAAGGGGCAAAAGCTTGGGTATAATGTACACAGGATCACGGTAAAAAAGCAACGCGTGTAAGTAGATTTCAAGCTTTTTTTTTTTTTTTTTTTTTTTTTTCAAAATTTGCGTGGTTCTATCACGTAAATACATACCATTCGACTCATCGAAGCGTTAGATCAATTGCCCATTGATATACAAGTAAGTAAAACCAAATGTATGAAAATTAATGTTTTCCTCTCAATCTTACTCGAGTATCCTTCAATGCACCGGGGATATCGCCAAGTAGCACATAGTGCACGTGCAATGGTCCATAATGGCACTTCCTAACGCGAGTTATTCGGTTCACAGTTTCCGTACACCGCGATGATCCAAAGCTCGCTCCACCCACAATAACGCGCAGACCTTAAATATTATATCGGCACTTTAACGGCACGGAACTCCATACGCACTCGATCACGGGTATGGTTCCACGTACCTCCCGAGGACAAAATTCACCAAAAACCGGTATAGTCGCGAGGAGTGTGTGCGCGCCGACGATCGGCGCGTAATTGAAGGCGCACACGTACCGAGCGGACCGAGCGCTCGTTGCGGCGTGTATGCACACAAGTATGTAAGGAGGGGAGAAACGAGGGATGTTGGGGGGGGGGGGAGCGACAGATAAGAATTTTGTTACGAGCGCGGCGCCACGTGGTCACATGCGCATACTTATCGCGTAGGATCGCGAAGGGGCTGATAACTCGCTACCCGACTTGGGCGTGCAATGGCTCTCTTATCGCTCGATCGTGTAATGTAATGCCTCCGATTGTTACGCGAGTACATAAATACGTATATACAGCCATGCGGTGACGGTGTGGGGCGCGGGTGTTTTTTTTTTTTTTTTTTTTTTTTTTGCCACGAGCACCGAAGAGGTATATAAAGACGGGTTTGCGCGAGATGCCCGCGGCGGGTCGGCCGACGGAGATCGGCAAGGCTCTTTTGCCTCCGATGCGTTTCGTTGCAATATACTGTAGGGTTTTTTTCGTTGTTTTCTTTACCATATCTCTCGTGTCTATGTGGATGCTTTTGATGGTGATGTGGTTTTATTTTGCCCTTTTTTTTCAAACTCACGAATTTTTTTGTGGGAGATCGGCAATGCGGCTTTTCCACTCAAGACTGTGTACATCAGAGGAACTTTATCGACTGCGTTGCGTTATTACTTGAAAAAACACAACGCATAGAGCTGCACTCGTTTCATACGCTATTACTTTTTTTTTTTTTTTTTTTTTGTACCCCACGTCAATATTTTCGTGAATACTTGATGTTTCGAAAAAACCCAAGGATGAATACTCCGTTATTTATGTGCACATGAATATTTGAACGGCGTGAGCTGTTAACTAAAAGCATGATTTCTATTCTCTCGAATCCGGGCCATTAGTCGAAAATAATAGTTCAGGTGATTAAAAGCGCGTTAAAACATACATGCTTCATACGAAATTTTACTAAATATACACACGTGTGTACATACACGAGGCACGTTGGTGTGACCTCGAGGTAAATAAATAATACATTTCTGAGTCATCCTGTGTACTCATATACGTGTGTGTGTCGGCCACGTCGCAACATTATATTGCAAATGTTCAGTTGCGTCCTAATCGATTGATCTTGAGCAACGAGTTGTGACGGTTCCTTCGGTTATAATTTATCCGAGTTATTTATTTATTCAATAGTATATTTGTGGAAAGTGGCGTGTTCGAAGAAAAAAAAAAAACTGTATTTTTGTTGTATAAAAATAAATCGTCGATAAAAATTGAGACGTACTCGTATTGAAAGATAGCTTTAACCTCAATAAACATTAATCGACCAAACGTTATTGAACCGTTTGGATAACCAATCGGTTCTTTTCTCGTGAAATTTTTTTTTTTTCTACAATATTTTTTTACATCGGCGCTTAGAACCATACACGCATTTTCATGCAAACTGAAATCTGCACTGCTCTGGTAATTGTAAATAAATTAGACTTTGAAGTTCAAAACGATCTATTAAACTCGAAATTGAAATATTCCAAACACTCCTTGCTTCGTCGACCATGAAATTCATAATAGTCAACGATTTGAATATAAAATTAATTTTTCTTGCACAACTCGATGATTTCATCGGGTAGTAAAAAAGATATAACAGCCACGTGAAATGCTTGCAAAAACTCTAAAAGTTTTACATAAACTTAAAGGTATAATTTACAAGCAGTATTAAAGCTTGATTGTTTCAATGCTGCAACATTCCATCGTTTTGCCCCGACTCGCTGTGCAAGGTGATGGTGAATTGTCATTTTTTACAATACAGTTCTAAGCAATCCTTTGAAAAATATCCCAACCAAGTAAAACTTGGGTAAACTGTTAACATAAAGTTATTACAGCAAACCACTGTAAAGTATAATAATGTAAAGTATGGCTTTTTTACTCGACCCCACGTAATACTAATGTAAACGATAATCAGAATAACTACTCCACACGAAGTGAATGTCCTCCCTCTTTTTTTTCCCTGTTCTCTTCAACAGGTACATCATTTTGCTACTAAGCAATGCAAATTTGATTTGATCCGTAATCATTGCCCACATGCATATAAAAGAATAGTATAGTACATATATACATTATTGCGTGTAACGTACAACTGTAAATACATCCACACCATACAAAACGGTCATTCGCATTATCATTTTAACAATGTCAATTACCAAGTAAAAGTGTCGACAAGATAATACTATACAGAAAAGAGTTGCGATAACGAGGCATTTGAAAATCATTGTTCAAACACACGGAGCTCTATGTGTCAGTGCTTAGTTTTGACACCGTTGGAAGAAAATTAATCATTTTTACCCAAAGCTTACGTGTCGATATAGTTCAACAAACCTCATATCTTTGGCTTTCTAATGGTGTGTCGGACATTTTACATCACAAGAGAGGACTTGCAAAGAAGGTCGAAGGGACGCCCCCGAAAGCATCGCTCGATGCGAGGTAAACTCGCCGGGGGGGTGGTCTTTATATACTTAACTTTTATGGGCAAGAATTCAATTGCAAAATGCTCGCGAGGGCGCCTGCGACACACATCCCTCATATATTACATACCATTACGAGACTTTGCTAAAGATAATAGAAGATGACCATAAGGTCCGTGCAATAACGTAATTTAATGTAACGCCATGCAAAAAACGTGCAACTCTTCCAACAGCCGATTTAACTATTCCGATTGGTTATTTAGTTGGTTTAGAATTTACACGTCATTTTTAAAAAATTTTTATTTCGAGCTATGTTGACATTGGAGTCATGGATGATTATCTTTAATTGCGGTGGATACGAGTTATCACCGCTTGGGGAGCATTACTAAACGTATCTATTAGTGACGAACGCATTCCTGTGCGGAACAAAGAAAAGTAAAAGATAAACCGTAATTGATTTTAGAATTTTTTATTGATATGAAAAATTGATTTCAGGCACGACGTTAGCGATGATAAGATAACGTCCCAAGTGGACGATTCCAGAGAAGTCTCTCGGACGTTATCGTTAATTGAAACGTAGATTATCGGCTTAGATATGATAAACAGGTCGGATAATGACTAAAAAGTTTCTCCTAATTTGCGCGTTGGATAATAAAGGTTATTAAAAAAAAATTTTTCGACTCCGTACTTATAGACCTTGTGCTATCTAAGCGTGTAAATATTTAATCTGTATTGTAATTATCGAACCAAGCGATTAGCTCGTTTTTTTTTTTTTTTTTTTTTGTGTAATGAATTTTGTTAGTTCAGTAGTTTGGTATGTTTCAATAAGTGTGGTGTGGAACAACAACGAGTGGCTCAGCGCTTTCGTGGGTGAGGGCACTATACTCACGCGGTATAATGCGCAAAGTAGAAAGATTTATGAATCTATAAGATTTGTCCTTACTACCGGTGTGTAAAGGATGTTTGATCCTAACCCCCGAATTTCCTTGTCCTAATTTTTTTTTCTCTTTTAATTCTCCCCAATAGGCAAAAAAAAAAAAAAAAAAAAAAAAGGCAGGTTTTTTGGATCTAGAAGAAAATCGAAGGGTCGTAAAAAAAAACTAAAGCATGAAAAAAATGTGCAATAAAAAGACGAATAGACTGAGCCGATGTTAAAAATTGCAAAAAAACTGTTATTTTTGGCCATTATTTCGAAAATTAATAACTTACGTTGTGATTAATATTAAGAGCCGACAATTTGGACACAACGTAGGTCTGGTGATCCTTAACATACACACCAAATTTGAGAATTGTCGAGTGTAGACTTTTCGCAAACTGCTGAGAAAACCCAAAAAAGTTACTTTTTAAAATTAGCCCTAAAAAGTTGTGAGACAAGTGAGGTCCAAATTTTAAGCACCTTGCCCGAAATTTTTAGCTGTTAAAAAGTAGTTCACTTTGATTAAATTTCGAAAAAATATCGTTTAAATATTTTTCTTCCTAATAGCAAATTTTTCGAAAATCCATCCTATAAAAGTATACTTAAAGTTATTGAAACTCTCGAAATATTATTAATGATAAAAAAAAAAATCAACTACACCCGGAGCATTGGATGGGGAATCGCTTCGCGTAAAATTCATCGGATCAAAGTTCGTGCGCCATTAACCGTGACACTTCCGTCAATGTAATAAATAATAAGCGATAAATCCGTCGAGCTTTTGATACTACATTACGAAATTTCGTACAATCCGTTCCACAGCCGTAACATCGTGTTACGAGGTTGTTTTCACTCCTGACTTACGATCCCTTAATCTCGTCGATTAAATGATTATTCGGTATCTCAGATGTATGGGTACATACAGTACATTTTGACCGACAGAACTAGGTTACCCAATTTGATTCAGGAAGCAAAGCTTGAGGAAAACAAAATTCAAAAGTATTCCACGAATATCAACCTTTCACTGATATATAAGCGAACTTTGCGTTAACACATTTATATATAAATTGATTCGAACGGCACATTGAGGTACTTAATAACAAATAAACGTAACAATTTGTCAAACAAACTTTATAGTCCTGGACAGTTAAGTAAGGAAACTATGAAAAAAAATTATCGTCCAAAAAGCAGCTCATGACCTCCAAATTTATGTATATAATATACATTGGATCAGCGACCTTATATTTTATTATCCTTTATTTATTCGTCTTTTGACGACAGACACAAATGTACCTCGTAATACACCCAAATACCCAGTGCTTTCACCCGAGCTTGCACACATGCATAATAACCATAGTACACTCACCGTACCTTGATTCGCAAACCGCGAAGTTTGAAGTCTTAAATTTTTTTATGACAAATAAACATAAAATATGATTTTAACATTGTTCAATGGTTGTTAATATCATAGTTGTTTATCGTTATATTTTTATTTTATGATTATGGTTGCTCTTCGCGTTTTAATACGATAAATTACTTCAAGAATTCAAACTTTGCGGTTTGCGAATCAAGGTACGGTGAGTGTACCTATAATTGATCCCCTCAGCGCACTAGTGTGTGTGTGTGTGTGTGCGTGCACAACCTGGCTGACGGTGTAACACATGCAGTTCGCTCGTGCACATATAGGACGAGGGTCTACTCCGGATGCAACATAATCAACCGGGAAAAGACTGTACGCGAACAAAACTGCAGTAGCTCGTATACATACAGGTGGACCGCAAACCGCAACAGCGAAAGCTCGAGGCGACTGTGTGACTATATTACTACTGTATCGGACGGGGATGATCGAGAAGCTCATCCTGACTTGATGTAATCTTTCGCTGTTTGCGACCGGATGTGTCTATATATTTATACATAAAATTTAGAGGGGAAAGGGTGCATCTAACCATCATCCAAAGTGGAGGGGGAGAATCGGGGTGCACTTGCAACTTGACGTATATATAATACACAATGGAGGGCTACGGTGCAGGGATTTCGCTGAGCTTCGGGTGCATTAGCCTTCATAGCTTGTTAAATGTAATTCCTCCGACTACGGAGCAAAGGGACCCCTATAATGTACGTACTATATTCCTCGATACGATACCCTGCCTGTTTGTTGCATATACAATCAGTTTTCCCCAAAAGATCGAGTGCAGAGGTGGGCTAGGGGCTATCGCGTGTATCGGCGTTTGACGTTAGCGGACTGCTGTCTATATGCCTACGACACTATTGTTGCACTTATACCTACCTTGTATATTACATAATTTTGTTTGTAGAGAGATTAGATGATAACGGTGTTTTATCTGAAGATCGATATATGCCAAATTGTTGTGTCAGAGAGCCTGTATATGTGTATGTACGTGTTTACATATACAATAAATCGCGTATACCTGACCGACAATGAAGTTTCAAGTTTTTATAGGAATAATCATTGTATCGGCCGGGTCATTTCGCTAAAACTGCGATATTCTCCACAGAGCCTATGTTTAAAAACGACGGTTTACATTGTTTCGAGTTGGAACGTTTTTTTAACGAGTTTCGAAAACTATTTTCGAGATCGAGTCGAAAAATTGTTTTGCGTGTTCGTAAGATTGAAAAAACGGGCCAAAATGTCATTACACCGTTCAACTTCTGGTGCCAAGACTTTGATTTTTTAATTTTTTTACAATATACTATTTAAAAGAGTGAGATGTCGAGCACCTTTTCCAATAATTCAGAAATAAGAAAAAAAACTTGTTTTCAAGTACGGGACGTTTTATTCGTGAAGCCTACTTTTGGCACTTTTGAATTGCGCGCCACAAATGATTTAATTTGTCCAAGTGATTCATTTTCAGACACTGAGAATTCGATCGTTTTATAAACTACTAGTTTGGACGTCACATAACTTGGAAAAAATAATGAAAAACTTACCTGGCAATTATACACCCCGGTGGGAATGCCGTACTTTCATCCCTTGTGGCGTTATGTACTAAATCGGTATGGGATTACGGAGTACGGGTGTTTCGTGTGACGCATTGGAGAGTGTTAAACGCAGACTAAAAGGGGGTGTGGGAACGAAGGGTAAAAAATCAGTTAGGCCGAAGCTTAACTCGGAGGATCACCGAACTTTACTCCAGATCACTCAGAGTTTAACGGTTTTTAAAACATTTTTTCGAAGCCCAGAGAAAAGTATATACTTATTCAATTGCTAAATTAATGATTCCCACTTGGCTCTGATGAGCTCCGAGTTCTGGTGTGAATAACAATACACGTGACTGAAACACGAACGTGCAACAAGCTTGTACTTTACGCCCTAGGGATGCAATGAACTATTTTTTCTGTCAGTGTAGTTTTACGGTTACTGAAGGTAGGTAATTTATAAAAATATTAACGGTCTAAAAAAACAACGAGGTGGGTATATATTTTTTTTTTTAATTTGGAGGGTAGGTTAAAGGAGACTTTTAAAAATGTGTATTTCAACATGAGGAGTAATCATGAAAAAAAAAAAAAACGCATGATTTTGTAGTAATTTTTTTGTTTACTTGTTTCGCAACTAACGAGATCATAACTATATAGGGCAACCGAGTTTTACTGAAGGCAATCGTTAGTATTTCCATTATGCCGATTGTTTCACCCGAGAAATCATTTACAATACTAACTATACTTTTTTTTTAAACTCAATTAATCACACAACTTTTCTTTTGCTCAAAAAAATGATCTCGCAAGAGAAAGTACTTCAAGTGACTGTTCGAGACCATAATCATGAATAATGTCGCAAGCCGTAAAAAAAAATAAATGAATAAATTTAAAAAAAAACTACCAAACCTCAACTACCCCGTAACAACCGCCGAAATAAATAAAGACCCAAAACTGACCTGTCGGTTCTTCGTCTCCGTTGCGCTGCCGATGATCGTTATCGTCCTGCCCATCCTCGACACCCTTGTCCTGACCTTTTGACATCATTGCCACCAAGTCGTTGTTGTCGTTCGCCGATAGCTTCGGAGTGGCTGCCGCGTAGAGAACAGGGTAACCGGTGGCCTTGCGACGTGGAAGCGGCGGCGGCGGGTGGAGAGGAAGAGACCTGTTCGGCTGGTGTGTCGAAAATGCGGGGATGTGATCACGCAGAGCTGTAGCGAAGCCGGCGTTGACTGGCACACTCGCCGTGGTGGGCTCCAACATCGTCGGCGCCACGTTGCTGTGGTTTTGATGACGGTCTCGGTGCAGGGAATCTGCTGTAACAAGTTTTTTGTTTTCGTCCATGTAGTTCGTTGTTTCGGTGGAAAATAAATTACGGTTGCATTTAGATGCCTGTGCAGGAAGGAAAAAAAAAAGGGAGGGGGGAAAGGCTATTTTGAAAATGACGCGAGAAAAACACCGAGGTATACTTTGGACGAACGATTGCGACCGTTCAAAAATATAGGTATAGAATCGTCGAACTACCAGCAGTGTACTGTTCGAATTAGAGGAAACGAGCGTTCAAAAAAAAAAAAAAAAAATAGAGTTGGGTCGACTTTTCCCACCCAATGTTCCGAGATAGCGCTTTATCCTTAACGATTTCGAGGAATGGAATACATTATACATATTATATTTATTTCTCGAAGCGCCTTTTGTCTCGACAATTTGGAAATAGCGATTTCATCTTAACGATTTTTAAATGACACCTCTATTTTTTTTAACGAGTTTTTAAGTCAAGCTCTTTTTCCCAACATTTCTGAGATAGCACTTTTATTCGTTTCCCCGAACCGTTGTTTACAAATTGTACCATTAGTAGAATCGGTGTCGCTGATCGAATATACTCATGTTAATTTAATTCAAAGTCCAATATACTGCAATAATTAAAGACGTTCATTTAAAATTGGAAGTTTAGAACTAACGAGAGTTGTTAATTGGTCAGTAAAGAAAGTTCGAAAAGTTGGTAAATCAGCGCATATGAATTGCAGCAATGAAGTTTCACTGACTTAGTAGTTACACGATTTTCAACGGTGATTCAGTAAAATTTATCATATTCAAGCGTATAGATAATATTTGTACTTTGTTTGAGTAAACAACTTGAGTCAGTATCGTTAGTTTTTTCTGTAATTATCCTCCTTTTTACCGTAAAGTGATGGTTCCCTTTCGAAGATCGAAACTTTGAATTGTTCATCCCCATCGTTTTTATCATTGTGGTTCGCGGCACTTTTGTGGGAAAGGTATTCATCCCAGTATTGTTTGTTCAGGCGAATGACAAGTTTTTCTTTGAAACTCAAAGTGAGTGGGTCTTCGGTTGTCGATTTTTCGGGCATCGTGTGCCGCCATAAGTAAACCTCGACGGGAACGATGTCACTTTCGTCGTTGGTTGTTTCACTCATTAGCGAATTAAAATTCGTCCCTCACTTATGTCGTAATGATAGTCGTCTCACATGCTAAAGACAATAGAATATTTCCGATATACATTATATATAATTCGTTGAAGATGAATAAAACATTCATTGAAAATTGTTGCTACAGCTGCAGTAGCATATTAAATAACTAACATTACATTCCTTATTGGTTAAACGATTGGAGGACTCAAAGTCTATTCCATACATGACAAAAACACGAATAAATGCGCAAAGTGTACACGGTGAAAATATTTTTTCATAACAACTTCTAATATAATTTACCGATCGTTGCATATCAAAGTATATTTTTGTTTATCCACGCGTGCTTTGTAAATTATAAAAACATTTATGGAGTTGTAATTTTTACCGCTGCAATAATAAAGTTTGGCTGGTTTCCCATTATTGTCTTGCAAACCGATTTTTGATTTTCCTCGCCGATTCAAGTTTTTGTTTCGCGTTACAGCTTGTGTTTTTCGAAACTCGGACACTTTGTACGATTCACACTTTTTGTCAACACTATCACTTGTTGTTACATTCAATCTTTTTGTTACAGTTTCTGTCCGTTGCCAATCTACTTCAGTAGCTATTTCAATTAAATTTTTGAAAGAACCCGCTGCTTTGAATACTTTAAAACACACGGCTTCCGATTCGACACCTTCAGCCAACTGTTTTTTGAATCTGTACTCTTTGTGTTCACGAGGTCCTTGTTTTACGTGTTTTAATTCAAGCCGAGCTGCACACTGCGTATCGTTCGAATTGAAATAGTTCTCTAATTTTTTCACTAAATCATGAAAGGAAAATTTATCATCTTGCGGTAAATAAGGCGAGCACAAGTTAGACAAAATCTCATAAACTTGGGTACTCAATTGCGTTATTAGAAAGGGTTTTCGTTTGTCTTTGGGAATATCGTTCAAAGATATAAATGTATTTAGTTGTTCTACGTAGGTTTTCCAATTATCACCGTGTTTAAAATTATCTAGGCGGGTTGACACTCGAGCACACATTGTTTTATGTTACTTTTAATTTTTTATAAATAAATGACATGGAACTTGGTGTCAACAAAATCACCACGTAAACCCTTCAAGGACTCGAGCGCACGACCAGCCGCGTATCACGTTCGCGGAATATCTGCGGGGGCGATCAAACGTGCCCGGAGTCAGACGCGCGCGATACGAAACTCCCTTTCCGAAAGTGCAAGCTGCTCCTACACCCCATGCCACCATACATTACACGTCAGTGTGTACGTAGACGTTCATTTGACGACCTGCAGTCATGTTGCCGGTCAGTCGACGGCGACTCGTCATTATATACACCTACTCTCGACTCTTGCAGTAGGTATGTACTTCTAAGGTGTATTGGTATAAAAATCGGCATCAGGTGGGGAAAAAGTGCGCAGAAATCGCCGCCACGGGCGAAAGGACGACCACCCTCCCCGTCCCACCCCTGTATGTGTGTACCCCATTGTGGGCGCCCTATTGCATTAATACATACCCACGTGTACTGTACGTAATATAAATAAGGGAGGAAATGAAGGGAGAGCGAGAGTATATACCGTCAAGCCGCTCATAAATGCATTAAACGGACACGAATGTACATGTATACAGACTACGCGAGACGAGTGCGAAAAAAAAACCCCGGCCTGATTCGACTTTTTTTTTTTAATAATTAACACGACGACGGTCAAGCTATTTTTCTATATAGAATTTTTATTTTTTTATTTTTTCCATGCCACGGCAAAGTCGATCAAACATTCATGGTTTCCACGGCTGAGTGTGTTTTTGTCGGAAATCGGTATTGGGGACCCTGTTCCGCCCTCCTTTTTTGGTTACTGTTTTATTCATTTTTTTTTAACTTTAATCAATACAGGTGCACGCGTCAATATTACAACGACTCAGTTTTTAATTTTATAACGATTTTTTATTTAGAAAATCGGATTTCATACTAGAGATTGAAGTCTGATTGTGAGGAATGCGTTTAAGTGCTCTGCGTTACATCGCATTTTTCGAATTCCGTACAGACGTCGTACGTGCGTTTGTTATCAGTGAATTATATATCGCACGGAAACGAAAATAACGGACGTTTCGTTAAAACTTTTGAAATGCACACAAATTTTTTCCTGCGATTCCTTAATTCGTCGAAACAACTTTCCCCCCCCCTTTTATAATTAATTGGCGAGAGCCGGAAAAATTCAGGAATTTTTAAACGCAAACGAAAGTGCTCGGCTAACGAGGTTTTCCGATATCCCACGCCAACGCCGGGGTTGCAGCTCGCATTCATAAAATATGATCCCCGCAGCTCGGGATTTTCATTTGAAAAAATATTTTCTCCGTGTACATTTACGCAATACTTCCAGTGGTATTTTTCAATAATTTCCACCAGAGAGAGAGAGAGAGAGGATATGAATATTTTTAATATCCTCCGGCGAACTCACGAGTCGAAATTAATTTTACTTCGCGTTTAAAGTGCTTTTTTGGAAAAAAAAAAAAAAAAAAAAAAAAAAAAAAAACTCCAATAGTTTTTTAATATACCAAAAATGAAAAGCGAATGAAAATCCGCACTGTCACACACGTCACTGTGCACGCCTCCCTACACGCCGCAACCCTTCATACGCCCGAAGAAACACTTGGCCGAACTATAAGCAAAACGAAGGAAAAAAACACTACGAGTGCCCGGGAGGGTGAAGAAAATTTTTCGGTTTGCCGCAAATGAGCGCTACGTGTCACTTTGAGCTTGAAACTTCGACTGGGTAGGCTGCATGGCAGGGCAGGCGCTGACGGCCGCTGGACACCACCACGGCGCGAGCACGCACATTGTGTGTGCAGGGGGGTGTCCTACACACCCTCCCGGAAAAAAAAGTCTATTTCCGGCGGCAAGCGTGCAATTAATAATTAAACGAACCGCGTGTACTTTGTCGACGCGTGTTTGTTCATACACGCCCAGTCGAAACGTCCACCTGTTATATAGCAATGAGATGGGCGGCTGATGGGATGGCAAATCGCGAGTTGTGGCACGTGATGTGCAAGCCGTGTGTGTTCGAGACGTATGGGCAGCACGCGAGAGATTGACGCGAACAATTGTTGCAATAACGGCGCAAAACTGACCCACTTGCCAATAAACACGTGTGCCAGAGTACTTTGGGGTGTTTTACGAATTTAAACTTTTATTGAATACATAAGCGGTCACGTGGCCGTTTATGTCGGTCTCATGATTAAGACATGGGAATCGTATAATTACGAGTACGGGCGAAATCGGTAAAAGGGGCTCCGAGCCCGGGGTGTAAATGTACCTAATGAGTGAACAAATGACAAACAACTGATGACTGTTTATCAGTTTATTTCGTCAATTTCATCCAGATGATAGCTTTTTAATTCATCGCACTTTATTTGCAAGTTTTTTCAAAAAGGTGGTTGAAAATGGAAAAAAAAAAATGAGTAAAGTCATAAATAAATATGTATGTATTTGTTGTCACATCTACGAAATGACGTGTTTTTTTGTGAGAATCGTCGGGAACTGGGGCGGTCAGCGTTTATACATTTATGGATCGGTGCTACTGACTGACGTGGCGCTCCGACAGCGGCTACTCTCTACTCACCAGTGTAATATACCTGTACGAGCTACGAGAGCTACCCACTACAGTACGAAGCTCAAAGTTTTTTCTCCTAGATGTCATACTTTGTATACCTACTCATTGTAATGTCATAGATTTCGTGTTTGTTGTGTTGGCAAAGAGAGTCGTCGCTGTCACGCTGCATGGTATCCTATAGTTTTCCACGTGGTTGCATCCAATTGACGTTTACAAATTACCGCAAATTTATTGTATAAGTACTTTTTCTTTTTGTATCCAAAAACATGGTTTTTATATATGATACTTT